AATAATGCTTACCTATGAAATAAAGATTATTTTGAGTTTGAGTTTGAATAATAAAATTGTTTATTGAATAACTTATTGTACAAAGGAATAACTAAAGACTAATTATGCGAATCAATGCAAAATATAACGCATATACCTGAACTAGGAGAATAATAACATCGTATTATGAATAATGTCAATATACAAATGTCAAAAATTAGACTGAATTTAGGGGTTTATCATTTTAAAAATTCGCGACACTGTATAGTATGTACATTTTATTAGTCAATAACTTGTGTTTTATTTGAAATAGCGTAAGGTTTTTCTCCGACTTTAGTACATACGGTAAATTTTTGGCGCCATTACAAAAATACTTTTCTGTGTGAAGGTGATTTTACAGGCTTTCATACGAAATTGGTCATAACGCCTTGGCTTCAGAGTACGCGTGATAACATAACCGTGGTGTCTACAACTTTGCTATGCATGTATAATATGTATGCATAAGTGTCGAGTTTAGTGCAAATGCTCTCTAATTGTGCTAATAGATAAGCAAATTACACTTGAAATCATCATACTGAATCAACTGTACTGCTCATTCGTAAAGCAGATTCCCCTGAAAGGAATGAGCAAGAAACTCTAGGGGTTGCTCTTTGTAAACATATATTTATCATTACAATACTTATTTAATTTAAATTAACATCTTAGATCGAGAATACCTGAAAGAAGCCTTCGACTTTGTTAATCATTCCAAGCTCCTACACAAGCTTGAAATATATAGCATTAGAGGAAGAGCCCTCGATTGGGTAGAAAGTTACTTGACAAATCGAACATAATTTACAGAAATAAGTGGATTTACAAAAAACAAACACAATCATATACTTTCCAAACAAACCTTCACTTAAAAACAACTAATACTGGAATTCCTCAAAGTAGCTTCCTCGGTCCTTTACTATACCTCCTTTATATTAATGACCTTCCACATGCTATTGACCATAAATGTATACAATTAGCGATTAAAAACTAACGAACAAAATGCGAAAACAACGACGTTTAACACCGACATAAATAAAGCACTGACACATATAATAAGTTGGATGGACATTAATGATCTACGCATTAATATAATCAAAACTAAATTTATGACATTTAGGTCGTATAATTCAAATCCCATACCAATTAAAATTCACTACAACACCGACACTATAGATGAAGTTAACACATTTAACTTTCTTGGATTGACAATCGATAAACATCTTAACTGGAAGGATCACATCGAAAAAATTTGTATGAGACTAAATTGATTTGTTTACGCTCTGCGAAGACTAAGGCAAATTATCTCTCTCGAGAAGCGGCGCTGACGGCCTATCACGGCTACGTTTCGTCCGTACTCAGCTACAGTTTTATACTATGGGGCAACTCAGTACATTTAGAAAGATAATGTTCAAGGTTCAGAAGAAGTGTATTCGGGCGATCTGTGGTGCGCGGTTCGATGATAGCTTCAAACCGTTGTTCAAAAAACTAAACATGCTGCCTTTGCCATGCATGTATATAAAAAACTAAACATGCTGCCTTTGCCATGCAATGTATATAAGGGGCATTTGCATATTCGTGAACACTCATCCTCAATATTTTAAAACACGTGGTGAAGTGATACAAAGGCAAACCAGAGCTAAAAGCATGAGCTTTTATACCAATCTCGATGCCATAAATTAATTTATAACAATAACTGCTTCAATATGTGCATAAAGATATCGACTCATCCGAAGAACAAAGACCGATGTGATTATATAGCGAAAAGAGAATAAATACATAATTTCGTTATTTAAAATGAGGCCTATGTAAAGGTGTTTTGAGAATTTATATATCTTATTGCGTTTCGGAAATATAAAATAGAACAACGGTCGATCTACCATCCACAGCGAAGAAGAACGAACGAAATGTACTATGTCTCGAGAACAAGTAGTCTTGCACATAGATCTTTGTTCTACGGATGAGTCGATATATGAATTTAAATTACTACACGGACCTACGTTTACATCACAATTGACAAAATGGCTTACGACACATTGCTTCTATAGTAATAAAAAATATTTAGAATTTACAAATACTAATTTATATTGATTTGAAGTGCAATTAATTTAGGAGGTCAAAATATTTAATTCAATTAATATTTGCACACCTGCTTGCAGGTTGAATTCATTGTACCTATTTTTATTTTAGATCTGTATAATTACTGTATTCTGGCAAATAAACGTTTTCTATTCTAAAGAGCTAAACGGGTCACTACCAAGGATTTTTGTCATCCAAGTACACAAAAGTTGCATAATAACTTTCAGTATAAAGTTATTGTTTCACAATACTTTTGAACCTCGTAAATGGCAAAACTTGAATATCAATGGGAGTCTTATTACAGAAGTGTATACATGAATTTGAGACTATGAAGACGACTATCAAGAACAGCTAGTTTAGTTTTGTTCCTCGTATTAATGTTATGTCTGTCACTACTTTTATTAAAAAAAATAATATTTTTCTTAACACAAATAACATTTCGAGTTCTTAGGTTTTCGCGATTGTTACACATAGGAAATGAAACTATTTTTCCAAATTTAAATTACGTATATTTGTTTTTTTTTCAAACAAACCAACGTCTCGAGCCCTTTAGTCCCATGGACCACCACAAATATACGCGATTTAAATCCGGAAAAATAGTTTCATTTCCTATAAATAACATTTTCGTAAATGTATAGTTCAAGTATAAAACAATAGTTCCTTGTGAACATATGTTTAACTGTTTTTGGGAACAACTTTTACAATGTTTAAAGATACAAGACGGTATTTTAAAATATAAAATAACTAATCACTCGTGACGTGCAAACAGTACGACGCTGTGCTTAGTACTAACGCGAGATTATATTCGCTTTTGAATTTGTATGTGCTTTGGTGGCTTCACTTTCGTGTTCGACGCTCCATCTGCCTATTGTTTTGTAATCTGAGAAGGAGCCAAACACTTTTTGTCAAATTAGAACACAATCGTCAATGCTATATAATTGATTACAAAGTTAATTTAATGAAAGAATTAATAGAAAAGTATTTGATAGTGAGTGAAAATTAGAAACGAATGCTCGGTATATAGACGCGAAACGGTAGTATTATAAAACATGTGTACAAAATAAAGGTTATTAAGATATTCTGTAACTGCAATTTCAATAAATATTTTGAACTATCAAAATTTTCAAATTTAAAATATCTTAATACAGTATTCTTTCCTTTGTGTGATGTAAATCAAATAATAACAATGAAATATTGCATATCATTTGTTTGATATCCTAATACCACTTAAGTAATAAGTAATGCAAAATAACATTTCCAGTTTGTAACAGTATTATAGAAAGCAACAGAAAAAAGTACGAAAGTTTTTTCGCTGCATCTGGCAATCTTACGCGCACATAATAAATGAAAAGCGGCTTCACTTCGTTTGTTGCGTATGCTCCATCTGCCTATTGTTTTGTAATCTGGGGTAAATTCTAAAGATAATTTCGCCCGCTGACCAGAACAACGTGTTATCATCTATATATGTCGATGCTTTCGCAGCTTCTGGCAAGCGGCCGATTTGGAGTGATCTAGAGAGTGAATATTAAAATCGCCACAGAATCCTTTGGTCAACCTATCATGCAGATTGTTATAAAATATTTCAATACATTTTGATTCGTTTTTCGGAAGTTTATATAGAACTATAAAATTATGATCATTTAGTTCAACCTCACAGCGTTTAATCATGTTTGCAACACTAAATTTGGAAGCCGCATCGATTATTTTATAACTAAAATCATATTTTATGAGAATAGATGCACCTCCATTTATTTCGAGTAAAGTAAGAACCAAGTCTGTAATTGGAAATATTTAGGAATTTTATATTTTATACCTTCATGTTGTGTTCTGTAATACACACGACATCTACAGATTTATTGCTGTTCATGAATAAAATTCATCTAGCTCTAATATAAGCAGGTCTGACTTAGTTGTCCGTCAATATTTTATTGTAAAACATTTATGCTATTAGTCACGAAATAAACTGTCACCATTTGCGTTATCAATGTCACTAGTGTCTCTTGAACTCTCAGATTATTTGTAATCTGACCTTGAACTATTCTTCTTTCCTATCAGGCCTTGTCGTAGTTATTGCCCTTTTCTTTAAATAATTATTGTTAATGTCTGTAACTAAACTAAATATGTTGATCATTTATCACAATTGTCATTCCTGTGTTGTTTAATATTCCTGACCATTTCACAATCACAAACATCTTAAAGTCATAAGTGATATTACGATTAAAATCCAAAATTCATGCATACCTGTGTTATCACGTCCATGTATAACAAGTTGTCAAAAATTTCTCTAAATACTATGTATCACTTATTTGCAATAAGATCCGTTCAATATATTTTTTGAACTTCAAATCTGTGTTTTCTCAATTTCACCGATTTTTAGTTACGACACCGTTTTCCGTTTCAAGTGCGTCATGTTATTCATATGCACACTAATAATAATGCATATGCACTTGTTAGCTGGTAAGTACTGACCACTGTAACGTGTCGTTGGGCAGCTGACTGAACTCCAGACACATGAAGCGACCGCCCGGCATCAACACGCGGTACGCTTCCTCTAGCACCTAGCAATCCGAGATTATAGGTTCAGTTTACATTGCCGCGGAACGGAATGGAAGCGAATTTTTATAACGAAATTATACTGTTAATTTAGCAACGTAGAATCCAAATACGAGCCAAAAAAGGTAGTCCAAGACTCAATTTACATTAGCACTTAACGGAATTGTTTTTGAATTAGCACTTGAGAATTTTCGCGATTGTGCCTTGAGGTTGTAGTCTAGGTGTTCAGTCTAGATTTTTACATGACTAAGATGGTGGACATAGATATTGTTTTTTTTTTGCAAATTTATGAGGTTCATGATTTATAGAAATGAAAACTTTTTGAACAATATGAAATATTTTGGCAGTTTTATACCTTTATATTTTGTTTCATAGGCGCTTGACGCCGCACTGCGTCTCCGTTCGCGCCATTTCCCGCAGAAACGCTCGAGGACAGCTACGGGTATTCCCGCGAATGTCCGAGAATTCTCCGAAAGTTGTTTGTCCATTGCACAGTTGACATTAAATTCATTATGCTATGTACAATTTATTTCGGTCCGCGGCAATGTAAATTGAGCCTAAGACAATTACAATACTTTTGTTATGTTCGACATTTCATCCTGGAATGTGTTGATTTAGCTGAAATATTGGTTTTTAACTGTTCAGTCATACTTTTTTTCAGCTACTCACTCAAGTCAATAGAGTGTAACCTTGTCAACATGTGTGCAGTTGCGAACGCCGAACGCGATGGTGTAGGCGGTGTACGTTTCATCGGGCACCGAGAGCTTCTCGGCGTCACTGCACAACCAGTTCATGTCAACACCAGTCTTCTCCGAAGTTAATCCATGTCTGAACAAATAATTGCATTATTTTTATCATAACAATTGCCAAAAGTCTAAACTAACCATCAAAAACACGGGACTGTCAATCTGGATTGAATTCTTAGATATTTAGATTTGAGGATTTTTTTATCACTTTTACATCTACTTTATCAATCTATAGTTAATAAAGGTTTTACTTGTTCGCTCGTGCCTTGCCGACGTCGAGCATGGCCTGGTTAATATCGCACACGGTGACGCTGCTACGCTTGCCCTCCGGCGCGGCGCCCAAATTCCGTAGGTAGTTGACGTACCTGAACGATATGTCGCCTAAAACATGGATAAAATGAAATAGGAGCCGAAATCACCCTTGGGAAGTTCCTTACTCTTCTTCAACTAGATATCTCATACAAGAGTAGGTGTATTTCATACAAATTACAAACATAAATCAGATGAGTCATCTGAAGTATTGTATATAGTGTTCCATTACCAGTGCCGCCGGCAACATCGATGAGGCGCGTGCCATGCGTAGGCGCCAGGCGCTGCATGAAGAAGTCTTTCCACACGCGGTGGATGCCAAACGACATAGCGTCGTTCATCACGTCATACTTCTCTGCCACCGTCTCGAACACATCATGTACTGTACAACAAATGCTACACAATATATACATAATTCCAAATAATTTTATACAGTACTCTGAAAGGAAAAAAAGCAAACTAATAGCAGTTGATTTAGTTGATGACAAATGAATGGACAAACATAATGGCACGTCGTGACCAATAATAGGATTAATATATGTAGATATTATATTGGTTAGGAATGAGTATAATTCTGTATAAGTGTAGTAAACAGTAATCTTTCTGTAGAGGCAACTAAATATAGACTGTTATTAGGTAAATAAATGACATGACGACCTGGAACATTCATAAATATAGACTATTTCCAAATATGTGAAACGGAATACAATGTAAGTAATGTGTGTAGAAATAAAAATGATTTAGTATTAAATGTACGTTTCCAAAACATAACCTCCAAAAGTACGTATGATAATAGTACTACAGGACAGCCTTTATAAACATGACAAATAATAGCATCATCAAACCTTTCTTCCATTTTTCCTCTTCGTGGACAGTCTGAAATCCGAAATGCGTCTGTTTAGGTCTCTCGCGCGTAGCCGCCACTGACGGCGACTCTCGCTCTTGGGTGTTATACGCGCGGACCCTGGAGATGCATTGCAATGGTCTCCGAGTTGTTATTAATTTTAAAATTGGTTTTCGTAGTGCCATATTTCTTTTAAAATTAATAAAATTTACATCGCAATGTTTACGTAGGGATGAATTGATAAATACGAGTATGTACTCGATATTTTTGTTTTGATACCGAGTACTTTTAGTATCGAATCCCTCCTTTCGATTTTTACTGGGTATCGGAAGAAAAATACTGGTACCTATCGAATCTAAACGCGCACGCGTAAATATTTAACCTTAATCCCACTTCCCAGGAAAAGATCATCTTTTTTTCCAAATTATTTTTCTTTCCATTTTCACCGTTTTACAAACTCAAACCGCAAAGAACCAGTAAAAATGTATGTCTATCTTCTTTGGTCATTTTTGAATGAATGGTACTACATATATCTCAACGAATGAGCGAAGTTCACAAAGAGAAATGGCGAGTTCTTATGTAGTTTTGGGGATTTTTGTATTTCAGTTTTAATACAATTTAATGTTTAGTTTAGGTATTATTTCGAAAAGTTCGAAGTAATCGATTATCAAACTCTCGATTGATTAGCGGAATTATCGATTTAGCTATAATACTTTAAAAAAAAACCTGTATTTGTATAATGTGCAATGCGTGCTTGTTAAAAGCTTATTACTTTTTTTTGTTATTATGGCGCCGGCAAAATCTAAAGTGTGGACATATTTTACATATCCCAAAAAGTATCGATACTTTTGAAGCACTCATATGATTAGTACAAGATACAGAAATTAGTATCGCATGGCGAATTGTTTACTTCTCATTTGAGTTGGTATCGATACTTTGGTGGTATCGGAACATCCCTATGTTTACAGCCTATATATATATATATATATATAGTTGCCCACTGCCCACAATTTGAAATGTCAAAATCAATTGTTTCTCTTCTGCGTTTCGTTGTGCCATTGAATTTCAACAAGCTGCTACGAAATTCAAACTGGCAAATGAATCAAAACGCATTTGACGTTTTGCTTGATTTTGCTATACTTTTTAAAAGGAAAACAAATTGATAAAACTCGAAAAATGAATCATTTTCCTGAAACCCCGATAAGATATGTCAATACATATCAATATACATCCGCTACTTAGCACATATTTTTTCCCAATCATTTTATAAGAATAATAGGCCTGCAACAATGTCTTCGGAAAATACATCAAAACAAACAGGATTCCGTAAGTTTATTTAATTACAAATGCCTTCTTAATTGCATGCTATGGATGCGTTGAGGAAACTTGTCAAAATAAAAGATTTAGAACTGCATTTATCATCCGATACGATTTACGTACTACTTGACACTAAAAATGTCTGTTTTGTACCTACAAGCTTTTTATGTGTGCTTTGGTAATTTACAAAGTTTTAATGATAAATATTATTAAGTACATTTAGCGTATCAACGGTTATCATACACTCTTATATTGTATATGTTCTCAAGATACGCCAACAGTTCTGCTACATCAAAATTTAAAATTTAATACGTAAGCTTGTACTCTATCACATAGTACTCCCACAATACTAAATACTGTGAATAAAATATCCAAATTAACTTAATATAAAAAGAACACAGTAATATTGAATTTATTAACTGGTATCATTCACACAGTCTCATCCACATACAAACAAACAATTGTCCACTCATTACATATGCACCTTCCTCACAATACCACACACACCATTGACATGACCAAGCCAGTTACACACAAACATACATACATATGTACCTACCCGAATAGGTATACAAGTGCAGCAAGACAACCGCTGATGATTTATGGATAGTCATGTTGGTTTTCTATTGGATGCACAACTTGTTAGTTCCATCACTTAATAGCATTAGAAAAAAATCCCATTCAAATTTGGTAGTGTATGGCAAAACAACATAATTTATGTGGCATTGTATTAAAAGTTTTGATTGATTTTTATTTGTAATAAAAAAACAAATCCTATTTTATGGGAACCAAGAAGAAAAGTCGATTCTGGCAAAATTCTAAAAGGACAACACTACTATGTAAAAAGAAGAAATTATATGCACAAATCTATGCTCATGTATTATTATTATTTCATTATTATTAGGCTTCATTCATGGACTATGTAGCCACTCATCACTGTGACCATTGACTGTTCTATTGTGGTCGCCAGTGGTCGGAATTGAGGGAGTTAATTTGCCTAAAGTATGAATGACAAAACGGGCATGTCCATTCAGGCCATGCCCCTTTTGTCATCAATAGGTACATAAGTAGCTACCTATGTAAACCCAACTACAATATCATTTTTTGAGATAATGATTTGTAGTAAATACTTACTTGGTACTTGGTGCAACGGGCTGGTATCCGCAACTCGACGACAAGGCGCCTATTTTGCGTGTGGTGGGGGCAGGGTCCTACACGTGCCACCCAAGCTCCTTCAGGAATCTCAGCTGCCTCCTTGGTTTGCTGAAGACTTCGGGGAACGACCTTGGCCCTCCAAGGTACTTCGCCCTGTAGTTGGCTACGCTGGAGCACTGTAGTAGAATGTGCACAGCCATTTCCTCCCCCTCCAAGCACACTCTGCATAGAGGGCTGTCTGTGACACCTAAATTGGAAAGGTGTTCATCATCCGTTAGGGCGGCAGTTAGAGTGCGAAGCTCTTGCTTTTTAAGTTTAATTAATATTCGAGATAGACTGGCATTGAGCGTTGGGAGTGCTTCCCTCGCCTGTCTACAAACCATAAAGGTGGTCCATGCATTATTATGTAAAGATTTTGTACCTTTGTGTATAGTTGTTCTGGACCATTGATAGGGGAGGGACACAGCGTCCGTCTCCGGCCCTTTTCTGGCTAGTTCATCTGCTGCGTCATTACCAGGTGAGCCGCTGTGTCCTTTAATCCACTGTAGAGTTACATGGTTTTGTATACATACCTCTATGAGTGCATGACGTAAATGAGCCCTGAGTTTATGTCATAGCTGTTCTGTGCTTGAAGCACTGACATACTGTCAGAGAGTATTTGAATGGAGTAATTCTTTACTCTTCTCGCTATGATTGCTTTTGCCACCAATTTGATGCCCATGCATTCAGCCTGGAATACTGTGTTGTGGTCACCAAGCGGTGTTGATATCCTGATATTGAGGTCTTCTGAGAATACCCCAGCACCTGTTCCTGCTTTTGTTTTAGATCCATCAGTGAAGACTCTGACCTCTCTGGGGTTCAGTCCTTCGTTGGGATCTTCAAACAATTGTATCTTGTATTGTATCGTGTGTTTTTTGTCCAAGATGTATTGTTTTGGGATCCTATCCACAACCGCCTCCAGTAGCGGTTCCTCATTGACAGTCTTATAAAGAATTTCTGTATGTGGGGTCCTCATGTGCTTCCAAAGGCCGGCTCTGTTTAGACGCACTGCTGTTGACGCCGCTTCCTGTCTGATGAACAGTGGGAGGGATCGCAGGTCCAGCTTCGCTTCGAGGGCCGCAGTTGGAGTTGTCCTCATGCAGCCGGTCGTCGCCATGCAAGCGAGTCTTTGGAATTTGTCCAGCTTGTCGGTTGCGGTCGTCAGTTTGTGTCGTGGCCAACATACTATCGCGCCGTAACTGATCATGGGTCTTATCACCGCTGTGTAGAGCCATAGTGTTATCTTGGGTGAAAGTCCCCCTTGTTTACCTACCCTTCTATGGCACTGCCAGAAGGTGATAGTAGGTTTTTTAATTTTGTTGTCCAGATGTTTGTTCCAGTTCAACTTGTTGTCCAGTATTACTCCCAAGTACTTAAGTTTGGTTGATAGCTGTAGTTCTGTACTGAAGAGTTTGGGTAGTCGGTAGTTACCTAGTAGTCGTTTGTTTGTAAACATTACTAGTTCCGTCTTTGTTGGGTGTACCGATAGTTCGTATGCTCTGCACCATCTTTCCACAATTCGGAGAGCAGCTTGTGTAATGTCGCAGAGTATATTGGCATAATTTCCTGTTACCATTATAGCTATGTCATCAGAATATCCTACTATATAGAAATGTTCTTTGTTTAGTTTAATGATGAGGTCATTTACGACCATATTCCCCAGCAGAGGCGACAATACCCCTCGTTGAGGGCTTCTTCTTCGCTACTATGGCCCATGGGGTCTCATTTGCTGTTGTTTTTATTGTTCTGTGTTTCAGCATGTTGCTAATCCAGCTAATTAGCACTTCATCTACTTCGTGTCTTCTCAGTGCTGATTGTAAGCTGGAGAAGTTTGTTTTATCGAAGTCTCCTTCAATATTTATAAAGGTGCCTAGGCAGATTGCTTTGTCTTTAAGGGCCACTTCTATCTTGCCCACAACGGCATGTAGGGCCGATTCAGTGGATTTGCCTTGGCTGTATGCATGTTGGTTTCCGTGTAATGGTATATTCTTAAGCGCTCCATCCCTCAGCTCTCTGTCACATAACCTTTCTAATGTCTTCAAGAAGAACGATGTGAGGCTGATTGGTCTGAAGGACTTTGCGTCAGTGTAGTCGGGTTTTCCTGGTTTCGGTATAAATATGAGTTTTACCTCTCGCCAGCTGACATAGCTGAATGCTAGACAGGCCCGAAAGATGTTGACAAGGTGCTGGACCAGTGTGTCCCCGCCCCATTGTAGGAGTGCGGGGAATACTCCATCTTGGCCCGGAGCTTTGTACGGTTCAAAGGAGTTTACTGCCCATTTTGTTTTTTCGTATATTACTACTTGTTCAGCGTATCGCCAGTTGTGGATCGATGTGATGTAATTCATTTCTTTGCACCTATCGTCTTGGAACCTACATCCTGGGAAATGTACTTCCAGTAGGGTTCTTTCCGTTTCCGCAGGGGAAGTTGTGTATGTGTTGTCTATTTTGCGTATTGAACCTAGCTCAGTTGAATTTGAGTTGTCTAGGATTTTCCTTATTCTGTTTGCTTGCTTGATGTTCCCGCAGTAGCAGTGCTCCTGAACCGTATGCGCTTTTTTAGTTTGGATTTGGCCGCCTTGTAGTTTTCCCAGTCCTCATCGGCGCATGTGTTCATTGCTCTATTGAAGCGTCTCCTTACCCTTCTTCGTAGCCTCTCAAGCTCAGGCTCCCACCAGTGTTGGCCTTGTCGCGGGGCTTAGTCAATCAGTGGGCATGCGGATTTATAGCTGTTCAATAATTATAATAATAATTTAATGTCTCCTAAACAATTTGGTTTCACTCGGGGTCGCT